TCGGTCCAGCTCGAAGCGGGGAAGCAGGGTGGGAGTGGGACGACGTCGTGTCCTGGGGCACCACCCCCTCATCGTTGCCTAGCCTGACGGCCAATGGATGGGGTTGAGGAGGCGGCGTCGTATTTCCCCCTGTCCTTGGCATGAGTGCGCTGAGGACGGTGGGGTTCTGGTCCAAGCTGGCGATGATGGCCGAGAGTGCGGCCTGAAGTTGGGGGTCCACGACCGGAGAGGCCGGTTGCGCCGAGGCATTGCCGCCTTTCTCTGCGCGCTTCTTGTCCAAGCCGAGGCGGGCGCCTGGAGCGCCGCCGTTGAGCTTGTTGCGCAGGTCTCTCGCGAGGTCGATGTTTTCTTGGAAGACATCCCCCTCGATGTCCTTGTCGGCTGTGGCATCCTCCTCGTGTTCTTGGTTCTCCTGTGCCTCAGGGATGGGCTTGCCGAGGATGTTACGGTTTGACTTAGTCCTTCCCATTGTCAGTTAGTTGTGCTTGGTAGCGACGAAGGAGGCTAACTTGATAGTTCTAGCTCTCAATGAGAGCACCAAATGATAGACTATAAGTCTAGAGAGAAGTGAGAGCTAGAGAGAGAAGTAGTATATTTGCTTTGTATTAATGAATTTTGAACTCTTACAACTACTCCTAGATGGAGTATTTATAGGAAAAATTAGGGCTGGGCTCCCAAGTCTTGGGCTTGTGATGCCCACTTACAATAGGACCACTAATGGGCCGGATATAAAGTACATAGAAAATATTACGTATAAAACCCTATTCTGGAGGCCACCCATGGCCGATGAGGGCACGGCCGATGAGGGCGTGGCCGACGAAGACCCGGCCGCAAGGTCACCCGGCTCTTCCTGGGTTCTAGGTCACGTTCTGAGTAGACTTCTTTCTGGCTGATGAGGGTCATCTGGGCGACGAGGGTCCCACTAGGTGGTCATGGTACCTTCCGTTCTCCTGAGTATGTGGGCCCTGGGGTCCTGGCCCATATACTCCATCATAAACTAATAAACTACTGTGAATAAAAGTATATCAAAAATTAGTACTCCCTCCGTCCCATAATTTACTTCCGTAGTGCAAATGACACACGGATTAAGAAAGTGGGCTTTGTGCGGTGGAGAGTTGTGCAGAGGAGAGAGAAATGTGTAAGAATTGCTGATACGTTTGTAATTTCCATATGTATGTTTGTGTTTTTAATTAGTTTTGCTTGATTTTTACTTTGGAAATTACACACTTTTGGTGTAATAGTTTAGTTTGTTAAATTCTTGTAAATAGTTTAGATTAGGTATATTCTGAGCTCAAACAGGTCTGGATCACTCAAAGGACAGTTGGTGAACCCCAAAAAGTGGAAGGAAGGTGCATAATTTGAAGACAAAAGAAGGATCCTGAAATTTTGGTCTACACTCGGTCGAGTATCACCTATACTCGATCGGGTATTAGGTTGAAACTTCAAATCGGATCAGATCCGAAGACAAGGGAACATGCCGGGAAGATTTCGGCCACGATTGAGTGTCTATCCCCGATCGGGTAGACTGACATACCCGATCGAGTATGCATTTGAGTTTAAACGCAAAATCGGTCGAGTATGGCTCGAATATCACTTTCTACACATACTCGACCGAGTATAAACATATACTCGATCGGGTATACCTTTGTAACATAGCCTAAAATCGATCGAGTATACCTCGAATCTGGTATTACACACAGACTCGATCGGGTACCATGTATATACCCGATCGAGTACCCGAATCCCATCCCAAAAGCCTATAAATACACACCCTTTCCTTCACAATTGAATATCCAATTCCTTTGAACATCTAATCTCAGTATAGAATAATTCTTTCTTTATATTTTTCATCATGTTTAGTCTCCAAATGAGGAGCTAAACTCTTCCATCTTGGTTTTGCTACTTTGAAGCTTAATGAATTTGTAAGTTGTGAGTTATTTTCTTTAATCTTCTTCCTTGAATATTAATTCTTCTTTTAAAATACTATTTATATATCAAAGTTGGGGAGTGTTACTAAGATGACAATTAGTTAACATCTTGACATTGGTTATAGTAATAGTTATTTCTTCCTCTATGTTAATATTGAGGAGTGTTACTAAGATGACAATTAGTTAACATCTTGATATTAATCATAGTAGGATTCATAATCTTTAATATTCTTCCTTGAGTATTAATTAATTCCTATTCATATTTCATTTTAATATTTTAAACATCACTGAAAGTATCAACTAGTTTTGTTTCTCATATTAATTATTACTAGAATCAATCGGTTAATACGCTTGTTATTCATCCGGTTCTTTCAACAGTAGTAAACTTGGATTATAAATGCATGCATCTCATAGTTAATATTCCAAGGGGAATTAATTATATTGATTAAACCAATAAACCGCTTGTGTTGAGGTTATCAATCTCAATCGTTTTCATCTTAAGTTTATTGCTACTATCAAGTTAATATACGGCGCTTGTTCTATATTGACTCGATAATAAGTTTTATTAATGAACGCATCTCGTTATTAATAACTACCCTCGATGAACTGGATATACTCCTTGATTGAGTATTTGAGAGAAAGATAGTTAAAGATATAACCGGGATCGACGAACATTTCATTAAGTGAATAAAAGCAAAAGCAAGCCTCCATATCCATTAATTAAACTCATATAGGTTGTTCATCTTAGTATTTTTAAATCAAACAAATCTAAACCCCCCTGTTACTACTTATATAAAAGAAAAGTATTTCTTTCCCTGTGGATGTGAACCTTACTTCGTTATACTACGTATAATCGTTGTATTGTAATTATTTTGAGTGCACCTCACGACAAGTGCACGTCAAATTTGGCGCCGTTGCCGGGGAAAGGCAATTAATTTTTCTTTTATTTCATTTCAAGAAAAAATCAAAAAAAAAATAAATAAAAATATAAAGAGTTCTTATTTTTTTCTGAGCTTTGAGTATATGGTTAAACACCGATCTATAAACCAAATCACCTACCAAACAAAGCCCGAAACAGAACAAGCCTTCGAGAGGTTTAGGAATTTATTTCCGAATACTTCTTCGGAGGAATCATCAAGTGCTAATTCTCATTCTCGCGACACCGAAGAGCCAATAACTATGGCTCTTGAAACAAGAACGTTGAGGGAGCTCACGGCTCCGAATCTTTATCAACAACCCTTATGTAGCACTTTTCCAACTCTTGATACGGGGGTCGCATTCGAGCTAAAATCTGGGCTCATTCATCTACTTCCCTCTTTCCATGGTCTACGAGGGGAAGATCCGAACAAACACTTGTCAGAGTTCCATATTGTGTGCACAAGCATGTGCCCCAATGGCGTGCCCGAGGAGCAAATCAAGCTATGAGCCTTCCCATTCTCCCTCAAAGATACCGCCAAAGATTGGCTCTTCTATCTTCCCTCGGGGAGCATCAATACATGGGCTCAAATGAAAAAACGTTTCCTTGATAGGTACTATCCCGCATCTATCTCTTCAAGTCTCAAGAAGCAAATTAGCAACATTCAGCAAGCAGATAATGAGACCTTGTACGAATATTGGGAACGCTTTAAAAAATTATGTGCCAGTTGCCCATATCATGGGTATTCGGAGCAAGATCTCATCCTCTACTTCTATGATGGACTTGTTGATCAAGATAGATGCAGGGTGAATGCGGCATGCGGAGGGGGTATTGTTAACAAAACCCCTTCTCAAGCAAGAGACATCATTTCGGAATTGGCCGAAAACTCGAGACATTACAACGGGAGGTCATCATCAAAACGAGTCATGGCAGCAGAATCCAACAATTCGTTAGAAAGTCAAGTGGCCGGATTGACTTCTTTGGTAAAAGATTTTATCTTAAATCCGAAAACCCAAGAAGCCAAGGTCTGCGGCATATGTTCAACACAAGGGCATCCCACTGATTCATGCCCAACGCTACAAGAAGAGAACTCCGAGCAAGTCAATGCTTTGGGCTTCCAAGGTCAAAGGAGGTACGATCCTCAAGGCAATACTTACAACCCGGGATGGAGAGATCATCCGAATTTAAGGTACGGAAATTCTCAACAACAAACAAACCCTCCTTCTCAACAATATAAACAACAAAGCTAAACATCAAACTCGAGTATGTCCACCGAAGACATGATTCGAGCATTGGCCGTTAATATGGGAACCATGCAGCAAAGCATGGGGCAATTCCAACAAACCATGATGCAATTCCAACATGAAACCAACTCGAGCATTAAAAATTTAGAAACTCAAGTTAGCCAAATTTCAAGTGTCGTAATTCGACTTGAAGCAAAAGATTCGGGTAGGCTCCCTTCCCAAACTGAGCAAAACCCAAGACAACATGTCAATGCAAACATGTTGAGGAGCGGTACAGAATTGCAAACACGGGAAGTTGAGGAGGAGAAGCAAAAGGTTGATCTTGGAGAAGGTTTTCAACCGGAAGAAGAGGAGCCAACGAAAACCAAATTCCCTCCACTGTCATCATATGAACCACTCCCTCCATTCCCTGAAGCATTGAAAGACACGAGGAAGCTGAAGAATGATCGGGACATCCACGAGACCTTCGCCGATTCTGAGGTAAACATCCCACTCTTCAAACTGATCAAAAGTGTTCCCCGTTATGCAAAGTTCTTAAAGGAACTATGCACAATGAAAAAGAAAAATAAACTGGAAGGGAAACAAAAGGTTGAAGTTAGTGAACATGTCTCGGCCATTTTTCAAAAGAAACTCCCTAAGAAATGTAGCGACCCAGGCATGTTCACTATTCCATGCAAAATAGGGGATACCTTATTTTCTAAGACCTTGTTGGATTTAGGAGCATCAATAAATGTCATTCCTTATTCCTTATATAAATCCTTACAACTCGGCCCACTACATCAAACGAGTGTAGTGATTCAACTAGCAGATAATAGAATTATTATAGGCTCAGTATTGTACTTTACATCAAACTCTCTCTAATATAAATATATCTGCCAGGGCTCCTCAGGGAGTAACCTTTTCTATTAAACAGCAGCAGCAGGCATATTGGTTCCCCCAGGGGCATCCAGTTTATTACCCCGGAGGGGGTGGGCAGCCGAGTACTCCTGCAGGGGGTGTGACATCTACGGGTACTGTTATTTGTAATTCTGCTGTGTCACGCTTAAATATTAATGCTTTACCTATCTGTGTTACTAACAGTAGTCATACAGGCTTGCCATCAGACGGAGGTATTCTCGGATCTGTTCCCCATCCTGTTGTCTGTCAAATTTGTTTTTCTGCAGGTCATTCTGCCATTAACTGTCCTTCTCGTTTCACACAACCGACGTCTCCTGCTCTGTTGACTACTCCCGGTGACACTACTCCTGCTCTATGGTTTCCTGATTCAGGAGCTTCTGCTCATATGACTGCATCTGAAGGTAATTTAGTTAATAAATCTCCCTACACCGGCTATAATTCTGTTAGTGTTGCCAATGGTGCCCATCTTCCCATATGTAATATTGGTGATGTTGCTTTACCTACATCTGGTCGTCCTCTCACTTTAAAATCCGTTTATCATGTGCCTCAGTTAAAATATAATTTAATTTCCATTAAAAGGCTCTGTGCTGATAATAATTGTACTGTAATTTTTGATAAAAATTCTTTCTTGGTTAAGGACAAAGCAACAGGGGAAATACTTTTGCGAGCTACTAGTAGTGGACCACTTTATCCTCTCCATCTGCCGTCTTCATCACCATTAGTTTTTGCTTCCGTTTTAGCTTCTGGCCCTGTGTGGCACCGTAGATTAGGTCACTGTGGTGATAGTACTTTACAGTTTCTTAAGAGAAAACAATTTTTATGTAGTCATACTCCCTTTACTCATGAGTGTGTGGCCTGTCGTTTAGGAAAATCACAAAGTTTACCTTTTATGGATGCTAGTCATAATTCTATTTTTCCTTTGGAAATTATTCATTCTGATGTGTGGCAGTCACCTGTGTATTCAAATTTGGGATTCAAGTATTATGTATGTTTCATTGATGATTTTTCTCGTTATACTTGGATATATCCCATGTGTCACAAAAATGAAGTTTTCATGCACTTTAAAAATTTTAAAGCTTTGGTTGAAAATCTTTTTAATCAGAAAATTAAAATTTTTCAAAGTGATGGGGGAGGTGAATTTGTTAATAATAATATGCAGCAATTTTTCTCTGCTAATTGCATTTACTTTAGAAAATCTTGCCCTGACACACCTCAACAGAATGGGGTTGCTGAGCGCAAGCATCGTCATTTACTTGAGTTAACTAGGACCATGCTTCTTGAAGCTTCGGTTCCGAGTCACTATTGGGTCGATGCCATATTTACTGCTGCATATATAATTAATAGATTACCCTCTCCTACCTTAAATGGTCTTACTCCGTATCAAAAACTGTTTAACCGAGTTCCAGATTACTCCTTTATGCGAGTATTTGGTTCTGCCTGTTATCCAAATTTTAATGCCACCTCAGCCAATAAATTATCACCTCCTTCAGTTCAGTGTGTTTTCCTTGGCTATGCATCCGGTTATAAAGGCTATCGTTGTTTGGATCCTTTCACAGGTCGAGTCTATGTTAGCCGTCATGTTAGGTTTCATGAGGACACATATCCTTTTAAAACTCTCTCGTCTGCTCCATCCTGGTCTATTTCTACTACACCATCTCCTATGCATCTCACCGATATCACTCTTGACCCACCTCTCCAGCCTGTTCCCACAATTACGGCCGCACCAGCACCAACCCCATCATCGCCACCTCGGTCACCAAGTATTCCTATCACTCCGTGTGTACCGTCGCCCCACTCCTCCTATCCCACGTCCACAACCAGCCCCCCACCATCCCATCTCTCCTCCCATACTTCGTCTAGCACGCCACAGACAACATCAACCGACACTGTCTCACCTGAAACCACCTCACCTACGTCCACTACGGTAGTTAATCACCATCACATGCAAACCCGTGCTAAGTCATGAATTTTTAAGCCTAAAACCATTTTTAATTTAAGTACAGTTACTATCAATGCAGATCCTACCTGTTATACTGAGGCAAATAAACAATTAAAATGGCATGAGGCGATGGCTGATGAATTTAATGCACTCATTAATAATAATACGTGGGACTTGGTGCCCTTTGATAACTCTAAAAATATTGTTGGTTGTAAGTGGATTTATAAAACTAAATATCATTCTGATGGATCCTTAGAGCGCCATAAAGCTCGATTAGTTGCACAGGGTTTTAATCAGCAGGCAGGTATTGATTTCTCTGAAACTTTTAGTCCTGTCGTTAAACCCACCACTGTTCGTATTGTACTTACTCTAGCTATTTCTTTTGGGTGGGGTATACGACAACTTGATGTTAAAAATGCCTTCTTACATGGGAATCTGACAGAAGAAGTTTATATGCGGCAGCCCCGTGGTTTTATTCACCCTCACTTTCCTAATCATATATGTCGTCTGCGCAAGGCCATTTATGGCCTTAAGCAAACTCCACGAGCCTGGTTTCATAGATTTAGTAGCTTTCTTCTACAACATAATTTTTCCTGTAGCAAATCCGACAATTCTTTGTTCATATACCACCAGAATAATACTATTATATATTTATTACTATATGTGGATGATATTATTATTACTGGCAATTCTGAATTCTCTGTTACCCAATTTATTTCAATTATATCTAAACATTTTGCTATGAAAGACTTGGGTAATCTCCATTATTTTCTGGGTGTTGAGGCCATTCGTTCAGCTAAAGGTTTGTTTCTCTCTCAACATAAATATGTTACTGACCTTCTAGCTCGTTTTCACCTTCATACTGTCAAACCTGTTCGCACCCCATTAGCTTCCCGTACCACTCCGTCTCTTTCTGATGGTGAGTTATTATCTGATTCTACTGAGTATCGCAGCATGGTAGGTGCATTACAATATTTAACTTTGACACGGCCAGATATTACTTATGCAGTACACTTAGTGTCTCAGTTCATGCATGCTCCTCGTACCACTCATCTTTTTGCAGTCAAAAGAATTTTCAGATACTTGCAGGGAACACGAGATCATGGACTTTGGCTTCAGCAGTCTAATCGGCCAACATGTATAGTTGCTTACTCCGATGCAGATTGGGCAGGTTGTCCTGATAGTTCTCGGTCTACCACAGGTTTTGCTGTATTTTTGGGCCCTAATTTGGTTTCCTGGAAGGCTAAGAAGCAGCCTTGCCCTTCATCACATCACGACCAGCCCCTCAGCCTCGGCGTGATTATCTATCTCAAGACCGCCTTCCTCAGTGCCGAGAGTCTTGAGCTAGCGATCGGGCTCGCCATCCCTTCCTGGATGGTGACCATCGCCTATATATGACGGCTGGCTCATCATCGCCCCGTCATCATATTATCGGATCAGCTTCTCAGCATCGCCGTTCGCACATCACGATCGGCCTCTCGGCCTCGACGTGATTATTTATCTCAAGACCGGCTCACGGCACCGAGAGTCTTGAGCCAGTGATTGGGCTCGTTATTCTCCTCCCAGATAAGCGACTGTCGCCTTTATATGACGATCGGCTTCATCATTGCCTCATCATCATTTATTGGAACAGCTCCTCACATCGCGGCAGACCCCTTGGTCTCAATGTGATCATCAGACTCTGATGACCGGTCCCATCCTCTCACTTTATGGATAAGGACCGCTGCATGGACTTATGGATCGGCCTCCCAGTGCTAACGTCCATACATCACGTCCGGCCCCTCGGCCTCGGCGTGATTATCTATCTCAAGACCAGCTTCCTCAGCGCCGAGAGTCTTGAGATAACGATCGGGCTCACCATCCCTTCCTGGATGGTGACTATCGCTTTATATGACGATCGGCTCATCATTGCCTCGTCATCATATTATCGGACCGGCTCCTCATCATCACCGTCCACACATCACGACCGGCCCCTCGGCTTCGGCGTGATTATCTATCTCAAGACCGGCTTTCCCAGCGCCGAGAGTCCTGAGCTAGCGATCGGGCTCACCGTCCCTTCCTGGATGGTAACCATCGCCTTCATATGACGGTCGGCTCATCATCGTCTCGTCATCATATTTTAGGACCGGCTCCTCATCGCCGTCGTCCTTGCATCACGACTGGCCCCTCAGCTTCGGCGTGATTATCTATCTCAAGACCGGCTTCCTCAGCACCGAGAGTCTTGAGCGAGTGATCGGGTTCGCTGTCCCTTCCTGGATGGTGACCATCGCCTCTAAATGACGGCCGACTCATCATTGCCCCGTCATCATATTTTAGGACCGGCCTCCTCATTATCGCCGTCCGAACATCACGACCAGCCCATCGTCCTCGGCGTGATTATTTATTTCAAGAACGGCTTCCCAGCGCTGAGTGTCTTGATCTAGCGACCGGGCTCGCTACTCCCTTCCCGGATAGCGATCTTCGCCTCTATATGACGATCGGCTCATCATCCCCTCATCATCATATTATCGGACTGGCTCCTCATTATCGCCGTCTGTACATCACGACCGGCCCATCGGCGTCAGCGTGATTATTTATTTCAAGGCCGACTTCCCAGCGCCAAGTTTCTTTATCTAGCGACCGGGCTCACTACTCTCTTCCTGGATAACGACTGTCGCCTTTATATGATGATCGGATTCATCATCTCCCCTTCATCATATTATTAGACCGGCTCATCAGCGTCGCCATCCTCATATTCAGACAGACGTCCACCGCCTCATCCTCATATTCAGATAGGCGTCCACCGCCTCGTCCTCATATTCGGACCAGCTCATCAGCGCCATCGTCCTCATTTTCAAACAGGCATCCACCGCCTTGTCCTCTTATTCATACCAGCTCATCAGCGTCTTCGTCCTCATATTCAGAGAGACATCTGATGCCTTGTCGTCATATTCAGATTTAGCAAACATCTTGCGGTCTCCGACTGAAAGGCTAAAGGAACCCACAGTTCAGCCACACGCCCAATCGGCCATATATTGCACCGTCATCTTTATTTGATGATGTGAAGTTCATTTACAGGCCCATCGGCCATATATCGCTCTGTCATCTTTATTTAATGACGTGAAGCTCATTTACAGGCCCATCAGCCTCACATGCACTTGTCGTGAGGTGCACTCAAAATAAATACAATACAACACTCAAATTATGTTACCCTACCATGGAAGGTGGTTTAGGCATCAGATCCTTATCTGACATTGAAAAAGCTTTTACACTCAAATTGTGGTGGAAATGGAAAACTGGTAGTTCTCTTTGGAATCAGATTGTGACATCTAGGTATGGAAGAAATAACATGATACCTAGAATCACTGATTCTGCTATTTGGAGGCGCATATGCTCAGTTGATGCTCTTGGGACAGAATTGTGTACTGTGGATCATACTGGAAAGCTATCCTGGAATGAAGAAAATGATGGTCAATTTTCTATTAAATCTGCTTATGAGGAGGTAAGAGAGTTAGCTTTCAACTATTCTATATATCAGCAAATTTGGGAAGCCAAGACTGAAACAAAAATGAAGTTATTACAGTGGAAAATTGCTAAAGGTATCCTGCCCACTGCAGATAACCTTAGTAGATTCCATTTGGTTCTTAATCCTTCTATGTGTCCCCTTTGTAGATGTGATAGTGACTCTATGAAACATCTTTTCTTTCAATGCCGTGTGGCTAAAGAAGTGT